GGGCAAAACATTAGTATTTCTAAGTGACAAACTCTTGCTCCAAGTGCAAATGCTAGTTCTCGGCACTGAAAAAAGGCAGGTACAACTACTGCACAAAAACGGATATGGTAAGAGCAAAGTGTCTGACTTCTGCTTATTTTCTTTTAGCTATGAATGAAAATGAAAGCTGGATTCTTCATTCCAACACTGACAGCTCTGGCTATGTCTAGACTATGTGGTTTTTACGGGATAAACTCCACCATGTCCAAGGAATACATCTGCTCTTCTGCTTCCCTCCCACACACAAAAGAGCAGATGCGCTGTTTCGGAAGCCCTGTCTTCCTCCCCCCATGAGGAAGAAGGGCTCTTTCCGAAAGAGGTTTTTTTTTCCAAAATTTGGCCCAGTGTAAACAGGCCAAATTTTGGAAAAGCCTCTTCCAAAAGTGTGCATACCTTTTTCCAATAAAGCCCCATAGTCTAGACATTGCCTCAATGAAGACACTGTCAACAACAAAAGTATTACATGATCAATCTCCCGGGGGTTCAATTTAGCAGATCTAGTAAGGGTCCACTAAATCAATCGCTGATTGTGCCATCAATTCTGGTATTCCACCAGGTCATGAGGAGTAAGGGAAGTTGGCAGGAGAGTTTCTCCCATCAATTGCCCACAGTGGGAACGCCATGAACATCTGAACTAAGGTATGTTGACTCAAGCTACACTATTCATGTAGCTGGAGTTGCGTGTCTTAGTCTGACTTTGTCGCCTACTGTAGATCTAGGTTGAGTGACCTAACAACATTTTTAAGTGAAGACCATGACTGAGTTTCCAAGCCTGTTCTCTGTAAAACAGTAATACTGCATTTTTCCTACCTTTCAGGAATGTGGTGAGGGTAGATATATTAAAGATTGAGAGGCACTATGGTAATGGGGGTCATAAAGTACCTTAGATAAGGTACTTAGGGTACACCTAAAAAACCAACTCCCTTTCCTTCCTCCCTCTCCCCCCCTCCCAAAAAGAAAAGAAACCTGCAGCATTGAGTTTCAGTGCCCTGGTGAATTGACCTGGGACTGGGCTATGGGGTTATAAATAGCATATGGGCTCATGCTGGAGTCCCAAGTTCTGAGACCCTCCCCACAGGCCAGGTTTCAGAACCCAGGCTGCAGCCTGAGCCCAAATAGCTATGCTATAACTTTTAGCTCTATACTGCAATTCTCACAAGCCTGGGCTCTGAAGCTCTCTGCCATGGGGCTTTTGGCCATTTGGACATTCTCTTAGGCTAGGTCTACAGACTATGGGGCTTTATCGGAAAAAGTTACGCAAATTGAGCTCTGCAATTTGCGTAGCTTTTTCCGATCACTTTTGCAGATGATGCTTTTCTGCCATTTGGCCTGGTCTAGATGGGGCCAAGTGGTGGAAAAGCCTCCTCTTTTGGCGGAGGCCTTATGCCTCGTGAAATGAGGCGTACAGGGCTCCCTGAAAGAGCACATTTGCTCTTTCGTGAAAAAAAGCGGAAGAGGAAATGCATTCCTTGGATGCGGCATGATTTTTGCAGGATACCTTCCTTTGCTCTTTTGTGAAAAAAAAGCGGAAGAGGAAATGCATTCCTTGGATGCGGCATGATTTTTGTGGGATACCTTCCGTACCCTGCAAAAACCCCATAGTCTAGATGTAGCCTCAGAGATGTGAAAAATTTCACATCCTATGCAACGTAGTTAGGTTGACCCAACATCTAACGTTGAGGAGAGTAGCTAACCAAAGAATTATTCTGTCCATCTAGCTACTGTCTCTCCAAGTGGATGAAACTACACAGACAGGAATAAACCCTCCTATGGAAATAGAAAGAATTGACATTATGCCACTACAGTGCCATAGCTGTGCTGCCATAGGGGACCTTCTTGAAGATCACACAGGAAGTCCGATGGAACAAGAAATTGAACCCGTTCCAAGCTAGTACCCTGCCTACTGGACCATTCTTCCTCCCACTGTCACAACATCTTTGCCACAGTAGAGTAACGGCAGCCATTTCTAGACTGGACTGAGTTTCTGGAAAACTTGAATGGCTATGCTTCTATTAAAATACAGCTGGTCCCCGACTTACCGACCAAACACTTGGTCGTAATTCGAAGTGTTCGTAAGTCAGATCCCATTCATTTACATGCAACCGTGCTGTTCGTAAGCGCGGATCGCGTTCGTAACTTGGGGACCGCCTTTCTGAACGCTTAATGGGAGGTTTGGTCGTTAAGTACGAACGGTTGTAAATTGACCATTCGTAACTTGGGGACCGGCTGTACCAGTGAATAGGTAATGGGAAAAAGTTAAGCCAATGTTGTGAACTGAAGACATGCAAATCACAGCCCTATCTTCCAGCATAATTACTAGCAATGTTACACATCATATAATTGAATAGTTGTGTAACCGCATAAATTATTATCAGTTACATGATTATTGGATAGTCCCTGAAGGCAGGCCAGCAGGCAGTGTGCTCCAGCCCCACTCCTGGGGAACCCCCTGCCACCTTGTGCTGCTGCCTCTCTATCAAAGGCAACAGAGCAGGGGGGCAGGCGGGAGCTGGTCCGCAAGGGGAGCATTTAAAAACAAGCTCCCATTACGGACCAACTGCCTGCCGCCCTGCGCTGCTGCCTCTAATATAGAGGCAGCAGGCCCAGACTCACTGCAGAGAGGCTGCTCCGTGGGATGCGATGCAGCCTGTCCACGGGGAGCTTGGCTTCACTGCAGCCTCCCCACACCGCTGCCTCTGCAGGAGGCAGCAAGGCGGGGGGCAGGCAGGTCTGAGAGAGCCAATAAGTGTGGGAAGTGTAGTTAGGAAGATTTACTGCTGTAGTGTCCTCACAGGTCGCTGGCTCCGACAAGAATAACCAGAAGGCTGCTTGCTTGCATGTGTACTCAATGATATGGACCCAATGACCACAGCAGACCCCAAAAAGGCCCCCAAAGACCACAAACCAGGCCAGGTTTATTAAGTACAGTAACAGTTGTCAGTAAACTCTACTGAACCCAAGGTGCCAGGCCAGGTTTATTAAGTACAGTAACAGTTGTCAGTAAACTCTACTGAACCACTACACATATGTACTTGCCACAATGGAATTACTCAGTGTGAAATTTCCACTGCCCCCTAAGACACCACTTTATATACCAGTACAAACAAATCACACCTCACGGCTGACGTATCAGGTTGCCACCCTCTGACGCTACTTAGATACCACCCATAACCCTGTACCTCATGGTTTGATTACATTATCTCTATCCATCATGCTGTCATTTCAGACCCTGTCCTGAACTTGGGTCTGTATCTGTAAGGAGTGGGTACCAAGGTCTTTAATGAACTGGTGGTACCATGTGATTTCAACTTAAGACCAGTACCAATTATTGTTTTGTACCTGGGCCTACTACCAATTAGTGATTTGCACTCTCAGCCCTGTTTGTGCAAAGTTCTGTTTGCAGAGGTCTGCCTCTTGCTCACAGCTTAGTTTTATTAAGCCATGTTTTGTCCATTGTTAGCTAGGCTTCAAACCAGGCCTGTGTTATATTGCCTTATGTTTTAGGCCTTCATCTTACTACTGGATGCCTGTGTTATATTGGCTTATGTTTTAGGCCTTCATCTTACTACTGGAAGTTGGTTTGAAAGCTGGCTCCCTGCACTTATTTGATCCCACTTATTCCCCTATCCCTTCCACTGCTGCCTTTCAGTGGGGTGGTGGAGATGGGAGTTCAGGTGCTTGTGGGGAATCTGCTTAAAGCCAGCTCCTCACAAGCACTGGCTGCTGCTCCCTCTCACTTAAGGTGCAGGGGGAGTGTGTGTGTAGTCAACAGGATTAACCGATAGGCCTAGGCTTATCAGTTAAACGTTTATTCGACTATGTGCTGATATCCCTAATAACCACTGAACAAATTCCAGAAGTTGTGACTTGGGTACATGCTAATTGTTACATACATCCTGGATGGTTATAGAATAGCTAATAAACTGGAAGAAATATTTCTTTCAATTGTGTCTTACCACCTGTCAATCTTTCCCACTGATGACCTAGTAGGGCACTAATTATACAAACTGCTACTGTTGCTGTAAACCAGATAACTAAAATGCGTCCTGAAGGTATCATTAAACAGGACCAAAAACATTTACTTTTTAACAATTAAAACATTCCAGGGAAAAAAGTCAATTCTTCAATATAGGCAATTTCACCCTCCCCCACCCCCGCAGTTTTTCTTGTTTGCACATGCTTTGTCGACATCAATAGGAGAGAAAAATTAGGAAAATGGTCCAGTTACAAAAATGGTCTAATAGACAATTGCAGTAACAGAAAATACACTCAAGTGACTAGATTTTTCAGTTAGTCTCCCTTTAAAGTTTCTAGAAGTGTAACAATTTTATTCAGTAAAACACTTGTCCTATGTGGGCAGAATTTTAATCTTGCCACCAGATATTCCTAGAATTCTGAAATATTTGAGGCCAGAACTACACCTCTTTGGAGCAGTGGAAGTAAATTTTGAAGTTTGATGTGTTTTAGAATAGAATTTAATTATGAGCAGTCATTTGTGTTAGCATTTAAAAAGAATGCAAAATATTAACACGTACACAGTTTTTAAATTCCACTGTCCCAGAGACAATTATTCACACTTTAGCATTCTGGATAATATACAGGAAAAAAAAATAGTTCTCTTTCAGTAATCTTGTGTTTCAGACATGATTTTTTGTAAAATAGATTCATGAATTCCACATTATTTTCCATCACAAGTTAGTATAAAATGTATTTGAGGATTTTAACAGCTATTTATTATTAACTGGGGCATTCAACATTATAGGTACTGAAATTGAGAAGCACATAAAAAGCGAGCAGTAACTAACTCACTTCTCATTACTGGTTTAGGGCCTGCTTTTACCATGTGTGGAGTACCACCAACTCACAATGACATAAATTGCTCAGGCAGTTACTAACTGCTGTATAAGATAGTAAGTGATCTATTACCTTAATATTACAACACAGAAAAAACAGACACCAACTATATATTAAACTTGAACTTTATTTGATTACTGACAGTTTATGCTTTTTTGGAAGTTTGCTTCTGGAGCTTCTTCACTTCATGCTTGATGATCCTGTTCCTCTGTAAATTAAAGAAATAATTTTATATCATTAAGTATAAGAAGAACAGCAAATAAATACAATACAATCTATATATCAGTGCTACTCACAACTTTCTGAGTTTTCAAATTCTCCCCATTTTTTGTATAATTACCCTTTGTTAGGCAGATGTAACTGCAGAAAGTTCCCTTGCACTATATATTGGACATATTTCAGGGTACGTCTAGACTACATGCCTCTGTCGCCAGAGGCATGTAGATTAGGCTACCAGACATAGGAAAATGAAGCGGCAATTTAAATAATCGCCGCTTCATTTAAATGTACATGGCTGCCGCGCTGAGCCGACCAACAGCTTATCAGCTGTTGGTCGGCTCAGCGTGATAGTCTGGACGCGCGGGTGGCGACATCAAAGGTATTTGTTGACCACCCAGGTATGCCTCCTGGGATGAGGTTTACCTGGGTGGTCGACAAA